ATTTATGAAATATTTAATAACAAGAATCGAGTTTCGTGCACTATGTAAATACACCCTTAAGATCTTGCACACATCTTTTGAGAAAGATAATAACTGGATAGTGGTTGTAAGTTCGTAAGCGTATAATCCAAGACTCGGTCTCATCAAGGTGTATTTTTCTTCATTAGTCGCTACTTCCTTCCCTCAGAAATAGAACTGTCTACGGAAGACTGATTAGACTTTACTTTCTTGCTATTAATAAGAATACGTATTTAAAAAGAAAGGGAATATCCCTCTAATTGCATTTTTTTTCAATCAAAAATAATTAGGTAAAAATATTTTTATTTTCGTTTAATAAAACCGTAGATTACGATACTCTGTTAACTTTTCTAAAATACCATCGAAACGTAAAAATGTCTTCTCTTTACCGCGTTCGTGGTTTATAATGGTTTTTATTTCAACATATAAAATGAATTTTTGTTGGCCACCACTCGTAAACACGTTTATCTCGGAAAAGAAAATAAAACACGACGAAGAGGAGAATATATAGAGCGAAAATATAGTGAAGTTTTGGAATAAAATTAAAGTTATTATCATAAAATATGGTAAAGTGAGAAATGTATATTTATCCTTGAATAGATGAATCATTAATTATGGATCAAGAGCGTTTCTTTTTTTTTTTCTTCTTCTCGAAATTGATTAAATCAATATATATACTTTTTACTTATTAATTAATTTAAATTATCTATTTAAAGAATACGCAAAGAATAATTATTAAAGAAAGAAAAGACATTTTGATTTTAATAAAAAAAAAATATAAAAAAAGCTCGAAAAAAATTTATAATAAATATTCATCAAATCTTGTCATTAAAATAATAATAACAAAACTACAAATTTATTTCTACAAATTTCACTTGAAAAATAAAATGGAATTATCAATTCCCTACATATTATATTTATAATACAATATTTTTCATGCGTAACTTTATAACAGATCATCTTTTTGATCCATACATTCACATAATTGAATTATAAAATTCAGGTCAAACAAACGAAATTGATTAAACACGAAAAATATTATTTCAATAATATCATTTTTACACATTTCAAAATATTTACTGTCAAAACATTCGTATCCCCCTTTTCAAAAAACGTGAATGTACATACGAAAAAAAAGGAGATAAGTTGGATGAATTGATTTGTAAAAAAAATTTCAAAAAGATTATTTTGAAATCAAATTCCTTCGAGATAATATTGAGAGTCAAAAAAATGAAGAAAAAATTAAAAAAAAAAAAAAAAATAAAAGTAATGAAATAAAAAAAATAGTACAACGTGATTAATTATCACGTATTTTGTGTTAGCTTTTCACGCATAAAAATGTATTTACAGGGAATAATCGAGGTTCGCAAGTAAAAAGTAACGAGAAATTGCAATCGTGTAAATCAAATTAGGTATATAAATCCCAATATCGTACTTTAGAAGTCTTAATCAAATATAAACTCTACTTACCGTAATATCATGCTATATCGAAGCAACAAAAGGAAAATGATCATAATTAAAATGGACACCAACGAAGATAATCGTTAAAAAAGTAACGAGGAGAATTTTTTGGACGAAAAAATAACCGATAAAAGCCGTTGCATTCTGCACATTGAACATCGAGAAATTTCGAATATGACTGCCAATCATCGACCAAGCCAGCCAATAATGAAGAATAGTGCATTCAGCAGAGAGAAAGAGAGACAGAGACACGATACAAAAACACCAAGTGTCTTTGAAAAATTATTCTTAACGAACGTTTGTTAACACGTTTTGTTACGGTGTATATAGAAAAGAAAAATAAGGTACATGATATATACTACTGTTCATAAATATTTGCACATTGATAGATGTAGATTTGTATATTTGTAATAAGTATCTATTTGAATTTTACCAAAATATAATTGAGAATAAATTAACGATTCAAAGCAATATTTACTATGTTTGAAATTAATATGAAATTATTTATTAGAATAGCTATTTGTACATTTATATTGCATTTATTATTATTTATATAGATTAATTAAATGTAAATAGATCATATTTGGTATTATTATCAGTAACACTTGATATGTAGTACGAAAATTAGGTAATAAGAAAATAAAATGCAAAATCTCTAAATACTTTATCAGAAAACAAAGATATGCAAATATTTTTTAAAATAAGGATAGACAAATAAATATCGATAAATTTTAAAAGAATCTGATAATTAATTTATATAAAAAAAATCATTGTAAATTGTTGTACATTTATATAGCTTCAAAAAATTAAAATATATCTTGTCAAAAATGAATACAGCATTCAGATATTTTTGAACAGTAGTATATACATGTATACTATCTTTGTATACATTCTGAAAAGGCAGCATTCGATCCAATTCATCTTCTAATCGAACTCTTTATGATACTAAAGCTATAACAAGGAAGCTTTCTTGTCGATTCATCCTCCAATAATCGTCTTTTCGTGTAATTAAGTGGCTCTTTTCATTTGCAAAGACGTTAATCAGCTTTGTCTACAAATATGTCACTCTGCTGGCAGCAATAATGTCCTAACTCTGAGGGTAAGCTCATCTCCTTGCCTCTGAATCTTTTAAGGCAGCTTCTATAACACTGTCTAGTGAAAAGGAGGTCGCGTAGCTCAACGACATTCGTTAAGATCGTTCTCGTAAATAATGGATCCCAACCAACACATATTCAAACACTGTTCTTTTCTGCTGGTTATTCGTGAAAAAAAAATTAACAACATTCGTAATATTCCGTGTAAATCTCACTTAATACTACAAAGATGAGAAGATGAGCGAATTCGAAGGCAAGGATACACGAGTAATTCACGAAAAATATTTAATTAACGTTCTATTTAAAAGCATTTGACTACTTAAAATTCTTTTTTTTTCTTGTTTTTTTTTCTCTCCCTCTCTTTTACTTTTTGCGAAATGATTTTTCTTTAGGAAACATCTTCCGTTGGAATATATTTTCACTGACTGAAAAACGCTGAAACTCGGCCATTTATCGGATACGAGTAAAAGTTCTCTATTAAGAAACTTTATATGTTTCTAAACTCTCATTCGAATTCGTTTTTAATTACCGTATACTTTATATTTTTAAAGCAAAGTAAAAGCTTTTCCAGGAAAATTTGGATTTTTGATTAAAAAAGTAACCTGTTCGATAATAGTTTTGAGAATAAATCGAAAATAAAAATGATAACAAAATGGAACATCAATTTTCCTTCGAAATCTAATCCGATATCAATACTATAATGAAACTTAGAAACAGAAATTTATTATCGCAAAATATGATAATTACCCACTAATAATAACGTGCTAAAATTATATAACTAACAAATTCTACTAAAATCGAATTGAAATTAATCGTTACTAACATCTTTTTTTGCTACAAGATTAAAAAATGTGTGTATTTAAAAAAAATTACGATAATAATTTGCAAATTATATCGAATGCTGCCTCTCCAATGTTTGCAAATAATAGAAGCGTACGTGTGTCACGATATTAACGCGAGTTCCAGTAGTAAAATTAATAAGTATCGTGTTAAAGTCAAGTTGGCGGCGGCCATGTTAGATCCGAACGATGTTAGCTCTCTTCTAGAACTAACAAGGAACATAAGAAACGTTAAAGTGCCCTTTCACCTTTGCCACACTTCTCTAGATAACCGAGTTTGCTTACTTTGTACACAGAGGAATTGGTAATTTATTATCATTCACACGTCGCGAACGCCTATAGCGACTAACCTTTCCACTATCGTGGCATACTATTTACATACATAACTGGTTTGATAACTAGATCCTTTGTGGCGGTTCTCGACAAAGAGAACATCATTCATTTGAATTAATTGTTGAGCAAGCAACATTCGATTTCGAATTAACTCGATCAACCGATTTGTGAAATTTTAATCGCGTGACTTAAGTTTGATGTTGATTGCTTTTTGATATTTGATCGTTTCGGTTAATCGATTGTAGTAAGATTGTATGTTTTTCTAAATGTGTGGAAAATAATGAATCTCTTAAACATTAAATGGATTTATATTTTGATGTGATATAATTTAATTCGTAAATATTATTATTGTAAAATGGGTATTATAGTTTCATTAACTCCGCCAATATTTTAAATATTTATTAATCGATCTATTAAATCCTATATAAATAAATCAATATTGCATAATAGTATTTTATATATCAATTTTATTTTAGAAATATAAATATTAGAATAATACTTCCCAGTAAATTAACTTCCTATCTATCTTCAATGCATTTCATCTTATACAAAATTAATCTGTCCTCTTCCATCCCCTTAACACTATTCAATCTTCATCTTTATCAAATCCCTAATATTCAAAAATATTACTTTATATTTTGATAAACATCGAATCGATGTATTTATAAACAGAATAAACTACATAACATGATTAATTACACTCTTACTATCTTATTATATCCATTCAATTTTATCATATGATATGATTTAAAAAGAAACCATGATAAATTATCGAATTATTTTGAAACTGCTTCGAAATCACCAACGATAAGAAATAAACGCTTCACTAATGACGAAAGTACTCAGCAATATATACTTTAACCTAAGATTCGCCCTTATATGTATAGATACTACATAATAAAACAGCCCTTCAATCCCCTCCAACTGCTCGTTCGCTACAATCACAATTTTTCAAATTACGACAATTCTACCTATAAAAAAAAATATAAAAAAAAGAAAAATCGATTCAATTTATAGCTCGATCAATATATATAACTACCGATTGCAAGGTGGTATATACGTGAAATGTAGAAAGGACGAGTGAGAAGGAGCGCGAATATTTGGCGAAGAGAGCTAACGCCGTAGCGGTCGATTCCCTCGAGATGTACGCAGGAAAGAGTACGTTCCCTTGGAACGTGTATGCACGCAGATATATAAACGTGGAGAGAGAGAGAGAGAGAGAGAGATAAGGAGAAAAGAAAGTGTTAAAACATACCGACGCCGTTTGCCTGGGACGACTGGAGTTGCACGGCGACGCTGAAACCGCGTAGCTTTACCGGTGCGGAATTTTCCTTGCCGGCTAAGAGGGCGCACTGGGGCTTTAGATCACGATGAATTATGTCGTTCTCATGGCAGTAGCGCAACGCCTCCAGGATCTGTCGCATGTAATGGCTGGAAAAACGAAAGCTCTTGTTATATCGGTATCCTGCGGGAGATGAGGCAAAAAATATACGTGTATGGCCACGCGTTGTCTATTCAGAATAGATGGATGAAAATTTTTCTGCCCCATCGCGACCTGGCATGATACTGAAGCGATGTGTCGGTTGAGCTTGGTCACAGGTTTATATAGAGGAGGACGTTTAATACAGTGGAGAAAAGAATATTGAAATTTTTGATATGTATATGTATACAATATTATAAATTGTATGTAAGAAGATAATTCCTGATTTCTATTTAATAATTTCGAATATACGAATTTATTGTCATAATGTATTAGAATAATCGTCGCTATGAAATTTGTCCTAATTAATTTATGTAATTAAAATTAATACCCAAACATTTCATTCTCGTATTCTAATTCCTAGTATTAATTGTTGTCATATATTTCCTTAATAGGCTATGAATTATTCTCTGTATGATCCCTGGATAAAAGTTGTAAATACATATCGAATGTTTGTAAAGTAGACATTATTTTATATCAAGATAAGTGAACAAAATATAAAAGTGAAATACGATAACTTTGAAACCAGGTCAGATAGTTTTGTATGTATTTATATGTACGTCTAAAGTTAAAATTTTATGAAATATTCTGTAAATTGTTATTTTCAAATTTTTATTTTACGACAATAAAACTGACAATTATTCAGAAAATAATTTAATTTTTAATTTTTATAGGTAATTATGAATACGAACAATGAGAAGAATAGAACTCGTTTTATATTAAAATAGGAATGCCTATATATATATAGATGTACTGTGGCTGGCATATCGAGAAAAAATTCAAGAGAGAAAGAGAAAAAATGAAAAAATAATTTCATCGTTTACGAATGCCTAAAAAAAAATCTAACTAAAATTCTGCATTACTGATTACATAACAAATTTTTATTATAAAGTTAGGAAAAAATATAAATTTTAGAAAATTTTAAAAAATGGAATTAAAAAAAATATTTATCATTTTTTGAATCATATTCATATTGTTAAAAATTTAGAAAACTATGGTTTCGAAGAAACATAAAAATTAAAAATTATTTATTAATATCTGTAGCATGAATCGACAGAAAAAGTAATAAGAAAATTAATATTAATACAAATATATAATTATAAACTTTTGATTGATAATATTATACTCAATGAATCGAAGATTAATAATTGTGGAAAACACATTTTCATAATATATATCAAGAAACACGAACAGATACGCTATTATCAGTTCATTTAAATTCAGATTAAATTGGAATTATCCTTACTTAAAATTTGTTGATTGTTTATTCCATTAAATTGATGGATATAAAATTCCAGAGTTTGAAATTGGTAAACTAGTGTCTTAAAATTAAATTTTATCTTCTTATATAATTATTAATCGCATAAAAAGAATATTTCATTTATAAAAAATGCATATAGAAATCAATTTTTCTGTATTTAATACGTATTATATTTTCGCAAAAATTTCATATTTAGAATTATGTCCTATATATCTAATATAAACGAGCGATAATGTTTCGAAAAAAGTTTTTTTTTTTTTATTTAAAAAACGATATTTCATCAATCTAATACCAATTTTCGAAACGAAAATTGTTAATTTATAATTGTTTCGTGGAAACAAAAAACGAATGCGGATTGAAACGGTGAAAGTAAAATTAACTCGGGGTTAAAATGGCGTAAAAATGTCTATACTTCTTAACCGTATAGGTCAGCCGATTAAGGAAAATGTTAAAGGAATGAGAGACACCGGTTATTGAAGGTTGACCGAGATATAAAAAACGATGGTTAAAGCGCTTCGTTCTCGTGTATTTATTGCATATTCGTTAAACCGTCTAGATAACGTCGGTTCAATCGACTTTCTGTTAAGGGTGAAACGGTAAGCGGATACAATTCGTTAATACAACTATTCATCCTCTTTCATGTACATTTGGAAGACACTGTCGGGTTGATTAACACGTAAACATTTCAATCGAGTTATCGAATATCGAGCGTTCGATGCGATGTAAAATCGAATTGAACGTTGGAGAAGACGTAGAATTGAAACAAAACGAGAAACGTTATAAATAACTACACTTTCGTGCAATATACACTTTATGCAATAGAATATATATGAATATATATATGACGAATTTAAGTATCGGTTAACAGGAGGATGAAATGTGTTTAAAGTTTCGTTTATCCGAAAATATTCCAGAAATATATGAAATATCTGAATAAACAATATATAAATATAATGTATTTTATAGGAATATAATACCGTTAGGAAACGACCTTTTAATTATATTGATAAATTGAGTTCACTTGTAAAACATTGTTTTCGTTAATATATATAAACCTTCAACTAATTTAAATTATTGACCCATAAAAATTTGTAATATATATATATATATATATATATACATCTTTTTCGCGAAAAGATTTAAATTAATATTATAAATATCAAATATTATAATTTATGAAGTACATACAATTTTTTAACGTTAAATGTGATTACTCCTGTTGCTTTCAGAATATCATATAAACGTCACAAATAATTTATTGATATCAAAATGAAGGTTAACTTCTACGATTGTTTTCAAGTAAAGTGAATTCTCAATGGTGTCAAATAATAACTTTATAACTAGGTTTAATGCATCTCGCGTGTCTAATATATCTGCAACTTCTAACTTCTATCGCGGAAAGGTTGCATTTATAACTCGTGTAAACCGCCCCCTTTATTAGACATTTATGTTTTGTGCTGTAGTGAAATTTTTTTATACATTTTCACTCGAAAAATACTATTCGATGAAAGCTGTGATATGAAATATTATTTCGACGATTTTTCTATTACAATATGTAAATATCGTATCTAAGCACTCTGTAAATTATATATCATTGACTAAGGAGTATAGGAATAACTTAAAGGAATATTGGATAAATATTTATATTACAGAAATTTTGAATATCATGCTACAACAAAATAAATTTTTAAATCCTTGATTTCACGATCTATTCAGAATTGCTAAATTAATTTATGAATGAATATGATCGTACGATATGCTATTACATTTATAATATCATAATAGAAAAGTTGAATGGAAAATAACGGATTAAAATTTTTTTCCTGGCGTAGCTTTTTACGAAAATTAATTTCAAATATTTGCTAAGTACCTGTACCTAACTTGAAATTACCTTTTCGCAAGTATTATGTCCACGCAAACCTTTATGAAAGGGAATTTTATACGTAAGGAAAAATATTAAAAAATCTTTTCCCTAACAATTTCCTGAACTTGTACGATTATAAATTGAATTTAATATTAAAGACACGGGAAAAAAGCAATCAACAATTAATATAGAAATAATATAAAAATAATATAGAAATAAAAAAATTTTAAATATATTCTTTCAATTTGAAACTAATAATATATGTAAAATGATTTATTGATTTTATAAATATAAATCAATAAACATTAAAAACAAGATAATTGATTGAAAATTTTAATAAGAAAGAAATCCTTGATCTATTTATTCTATTTTCTTTGATCTTATTTTTAGATTAAGTTTTACATTACAATTTTATGCATTTATTTTTATATGCATACTAAAATATACTATAAATATAAGACTAAATATTTATAAAATAAAAAAAATATACTCTTGAAATATTTTTGATCAATGTTAATTAAAAATGTAATGAATAATAGAAATTGATAACTAATTATAATTTATATTGTAATTTATAAATTTTCATTCAAATTTTAAACTTAAAATTTATAATTATGTCAATATGTTTTTTAGTTAAATTAAAATTACATTGATTTCAAGAATTTAAAACATAGGATAATTGATTCGCTTCGTAAAGTTTTTGTCACAGACAGTCAAAGTGATAGCTACGAGTATGATACGAGCTTGCAACCGACTATGAAGAGAGCAAATGCATTTCAGAGACAGTTTTGGACGTGACATGTGCCTACACTGTCCATCATACTCCTGGTTAATCTAGCTCCACTAAATGCAGGTAGATTCAGCAAACAGATAACCAAAACTTCCATGAGTAAATATCACTTGCTTACGAAAGCATAATCGTACTACATGATCAAATATCGACATTCGTATCGATAAATAAGAAATATTATAAATCTATTCGTGTAATTTAAATCAAAATCCTAAAATATTGAGATAAATTCATTTATTATTATTGTAATTTTAACACTATTTTTTTGTCTCAAGAAAATACGACTATTCTTCTTTTCTAAATTTAATATTTCTTAAATAATTAATATTTATAAAACTTATAATTTTTAGTAAAATAAATTTTTCTAAAATCAAGGAAAATGAAACACGAGATTTCTATAGTTCTCAGATCTATACCAATAAAACTATGTTTTCGTTTTATAAAAATCTAATTTGATTTTTAAAAAAGAATAATCTTTAACATAAGAAGTATTTCTAGAAACGTGCCTTAACAATAATTTCTCGTATTACTCTCAAAAGGAGAAAAGTAACAAGAGATATCAGGGAAATGAAACTTGACTAGGTCAAGAAAGAAACATAAAAGAGATGGTAAAATTAATTAAGAACAAATGTAATTGTTCTCTGAACGATATTACATAAAATTCTATGGAAATTATTTACGTAAAATTATATCATTCCATCATTGATACACACGATAAAAAGCTATTGCAATTCAGATGAAGTCTACGGTAAATATTTATCCTTTGCTAAGACTATAAAAGACAACGTTCTCTTTATCTCGACTCTGTTCAAAGATACATCCGCAACAAAAGAGACATCTTTAATGCTTGAAATACTTGTGCGTGAACAATGCAAAGATCTTCTTACCTGGCCACCGCTTCACTGTACACGAATCCAGCAGTTGCTCTCCGGACGACCTCGAAGCATAAATCAGAGCCATCCATACTGAAACAGAAACACGACATTAATGCATAATTTACAAGGTATACAACAATTTATGGGCGCATCGGTAGAAAAAAGCTCTGGTATTTTGCTACACCTCCAACGTGTGCACGTATTTCGAAGGACTTGCATAATGAAAAATGATCTCTGAACTAAATGCATATATGTATATGTGCATAGATAGCATCACGTGTTCTTTTATTTTATTTATTTTTATTTCGAAAGATAAAATAAAAAAAATAAAATAAAACATCTGCCACATGTAAAATCATTAATACGTGAAAATATAATATAATTTTTCTCTCATGAAATTGAAGTATATGCACCACGTATGGTATTGTCGCCACGTATTGTCATAATTAAAAAATTAGAATTAATGACTTTAAATATTCTGAATAAGATTACGTAAGAATATCACATTAAGATACCAACAAATGTAAATTGAAAATTTACAATTCTATCAATAATTATGAGCAATAATAATCTTTTGCAAATTTTGAATAGTTGCAAAATATGTAAATATCTACATATATTCTACTATTTTACATGAAGGTTATAAACTGTTCTATAATTATGATATCTATGGCATAAATACCTATAATTGGAATTATTAGTTTCCGTGTATTGCGTATTCACTTTCGAAAGCGAAGACAAAATATACAAGTATTGATTATGCGTGAAATAAACATGATTTAAATTAACAAACCACATTGATGATCAATAAATCGGCTGTGTTGTCTGAATTGATTATGTTAACAATCGTAACGAGGTTTCTTGCTACATTGTACCGTGTGTCCTAATTATTGTGGATTCATTCGAGCTAATTAGGTCGATTCGTAATGATGTACAATTTTTACGAAAGAAATATAGTTAGAACGAGATAGGGTACTGTAATTGTAAAAATTCTGTATGACACAAAGATGTTCATTTAATTAAAGTAAAATTTGTATAACGAAATTTTTGAATCAGAATTTTTCATTTCAAATAAGAAAATTAATCACAGTAATAAAATTTAATAATTTTATAAAATAATCGCTAACAACATTTATAAAATTCAAAATATTCATAAATGTAGCTCCTGTATTTCTATTTAAAACAATTTATAAATTTAATTATACGAATGAAATAGAAATGGCTAGAATCCCTAAATACTAAACTTATTATATCTTCAATTATTATTATATTTTTTTCAAGTTTTTTGAAACTCATATATATTAAAATTATTCTAATTATTCTAATATTTTTATTGTAAATATTGATAATAAAATGCAATTAATTAGATAATATTATCCTATTTTAAAATCTGAAGAGACAACGTTTAAATATGCTGAATATATGTACATATAGGATAAATAGTGAAGACAATAAAAGACTGTAACACGTGAATTTACCATTTAAGAACTTTGCGTGCTTCTTGATATATGTCTATTAGAACGCGTGACTAATTCATACAACGTGTGACACTGCTTCGCAGATACTAGACATCCAATTAGAACAACTGCTGACAGAAGCTTGTTTCTTTTCGCAGTGACGATAGAACGATCATATAGGATTATTTCCAGTGAAGTGAATAAGTATTTGAGTTTTATTTGTCACGATATTCTTTCGTGTAATTTTAAATTTTTTTATTTATTTAGATATTTATAATTCGTTAATGATAATCTTTGAATCATCGTCCATTATCTATTACTAAATTTAATATCTTTGTCATTATCAAATTTCAAATTTAAATTATTATTGTCCACACTATCTAATGCTGGATTATGATTTTGTTATTTAAGATGATTTGTCTAATTCATTCGATTGTGATTTCATAAATTATTTTTTTGAATGAAAAATTGAAACAAATTTTTCATTTGGAAAAATAATAAATGAAAAGACATACGAATCAAACACGGTACTCCACGCGAAACAAAGTATAAGTATTTAAAACTAACTGCAAACGATTTAATCCGTTGATACAACCATTTCATAGCAATGGTTTTACTATTCAATTTTAGAACACTTCGTTTTATATATTCCATTTTAACATCAATATATTATTACGTTAAATATTACATAAATATGACAAATTTATCAATTTCTTTATTTATCTTTAATTATATAAAGAATCCAATTTCAAATAAAATAATGAAATAACTTATCGAAATATATAATAATAACTAAATTGCAATTGAAAATATTGATAAATTTGGAGAGATTATATTATTAATTAATTAATAATGGTCTGTCGCGGCAGCTGACAGAACTGTAACCAACTGCATAAACCGTGATATTACATAAATGTAAATTATAACAATCATAATGCAACGATTCTAGAAATTCATATATTATGAAACATGAATGAACATTGTATCTTTAATAATTGCATATTATTTAATCGCGAATTAATTTCAATAAAAAAAAAAGAACCGATAAAAAAAGAGAAAAGATTCTTTAATATATAATTTTGACTTCAATTTATCAGTCCAGTAAGACACGATTAAATAATTTTATGATAAAAGGGAGTGAAGATGAGTGTGATATAATATCTTTTATAAGGTATATTATATATTTCAGTACATAAGTTATTGTAGCTTGAATCCGTAGCTAAAATAAGCAAACTGCTAAGCGGTGGGTGTATCGGTTATACTCGTATATGTCAGGAACGTGTTGCGTTACGTAAAATAAAATTTAAACTTTTATATTATGAAATAAAACAAAATTATGTATGAATCCCACATTTCGAATATTTTAGTAATATTAATTTTGTAAATATTAACGCTGTATTATTACATTTTAATGCATTTTAATATTATATTAAATGCACAATCTCTCTCTCTCTCTCTCTCTGTCTCTCTTTTTCTCTTTTTTTACGGTTTAAAATAAAGTTTTACTTGAAAATTTTCACAAATATTAATTTTATCAAGTCATATTTTTTAGCTTTTTAACCTTAAAATATTAAACCATTTCCTTTTATTATGTCAAAAATATAAAATCGATATATAAAAATGAACTCGAATCTTTTTATCGTGCTTTTCATTTAAAAAAATAATATTCTATATACATCGATTTAATATTTTCTATTTAAAAAAATTGTGTATCGTAAAATTCGTTGAAAAAATTGAATGAAACTGACGTACTTGATATATCAAAGAACATATTCAAAAGAAGATCTTTTAAAAAATTATAAACAAATTCTATTAAATTCAAGATCAAGACGTCTTTCTTAATTTCATTTTATTTTTCCTCCCGATACTTAAAAGGTTTGAAACACTCTAAAACGTTGTACAAAATTTCTTTAAAAATTTAAGATCAATTTGTAATGGAAATCTATTCTCATTTTTATTGATGAATTATTAAAATCGAACAGAACTCTGTGAATTGAACACAAAGTTTTGTTCTTCAAAGGAAGAAGAAAGAATGAATTAAAATTAATTAAAATATGATAATACTTACTATTCAAACACCATATAGAGCATACCCTCCGAGCTGTATGTTTCTAATAACTCTACTATATGGGGATGTTTTAACATATGGCATATCGTGGCCTCTCGTTTCAAATCTGCAACAATCGTATTTTTAAAAATAGATTTTTTTCTATATAAATTATGATAAAAAATTATAATAAAATATTTGAACTAATGATATTTCATAGTTTATTAATTATTAATTAAATATCTCGAAGAAAAAATATAATAATTTAACAAAATTAAAATTAAACGAATTAATGATTAACTATTTGAATGATATAGCATTTCTAAGATTTTAAGATTTTTAAAGAATTAACGAAATTTGTACAACTATATGAAATTATATAAATATAAAGCACTAATGAAATTATGAATTATTTTACAATTAAAAAAATGATTACACGAAATACTTTTATGGCTTCTCGTAATTGAAATATAAAGATGATAAAAAATATTGGAAAAATATTGGACAGTAATCACGTTAGAAACCGGATCTTATTAAATTGATTTTTATCAGAACTATGACGTTCAAGCGGTCTCTTGAAATCATGTTCTAACTATGACGCATTTTTATAATATTATTAACCTTTAAAGCGATGCATCTCCTTTTTATCTATTATTAGATCTATGTACCTCTTAGATGAACGTATGTAAAAAAGATAATTTTTATTATTAGACACGTAACAAATATACACCGTAAGAAGTGCCACGCCTACGTAGAACTCTGACAATTATATTTTTTTATAAACAGATATTAAATTTTTTTTTAAAAACTTTAACTAAATATTTCACTTCATCTTATTACTCTCTAAAAATATAAGAAAATATACTTCGAAATAGCTATATAAAGGGAAACCCACCACTTTGAGTGCCTTATATTTAACTTTCATGGTTAATAATATTAATGTCGAAAGAATAAACTTTAAATATTGTGAAGAATCCTAATTATACGATCGATAATATTGTCAATATTTCGATACGTATGGAACGTAAAAGATTATCTAATAGAGACATAAACTTGTTTTGATAATAAATTTGTAGATATATCGAAGATATACGAAGATTGAAAATCAAACAATTTTCTGACAAGAATGAATCGTTTCATGATTATATAATGATATGAAAAAAATCTTCTTTATCTTCTTTTACGTATTTATTATTTAAATCGCGAAATTATTTACTTTTTGTATCTTTGCTTTCATTAACATAATTTACATAAATAAATTCTAATAATCTTAATTCCAGTAAATTTCGATATTTCATATTAATTGAAACTACAAATATAATTTAAATGATCGATTTATCTTGTGATTTATTCTATTCTTTGAATAATTAGCATTCCAATTAAACAACGTTCAAATAACGAATAACGTTATTCGTATTCACGTAACTTTTCTAAATTTTATATATAATATCGATGGGCTTATTACACAAATGTCATATCTCTTTTTTATCTTTAATTTTTTAATTTATGTTTACTAATTTACCAAGTAAATATAAATATAATTTTTATAAAAATACAAATCGAAAACTATTCGTTTCCCACAAAAGCTCAAATTTAGCAAAATAAATTAATTATATATATATATATAAAACATTCGTGCATTTTACGCCATCGATACCCTCACGTAAGTAATGAAATCTTATTCTCTCATTGAACAGAAACCGGAAACTTGGCAGTAACGATCGCAGTAGGATTTACGATTCATTTCTGAAATCGGCCGCACGTGTTCCACATTAAAATCCACATTTAGGAGAGACGAATGCAATTTCATTCGAGTCGCACAATGGATTGTGCAGATTCATGGGCTCCGTATGGTGATGCCGTAAAAGAGAATACGTAAACATGAAATCGAGCAGAGAGAGAATACGTTTGTTTCGAACAGCCGTGGCGGAAATTAATGGCGGAACAGAGAGGCGTATGCGCGAGATTCCCAATTCCCTCGAGGACTTACCGTTCGTGCTTAGACCGGGGCTGGATGTGAACTTTGCCACGTCCACGATTTTTACGGCGAACGTCTGCCCTGTCTGCCTGTGGATGCATTTCCTTACGACGCTGAATGGTCCCCTGAAATAAAATATAACGGGTTAAAACACGTGTAAACCGACAGTTACAGGAATATTTCACCGAAAATTCCTGTTTTGGATTCGTTTTTCATTGTTTCAGGCTTGATTGTAGAAAACAATTCTTCTTCGATTTTAATGTATTTTACAGCTTAAACAGTTTATTGCAGAAAAGTTAAAGAAAATTTGAATTTAATAAATTATCAATAATAATAGATGCTGAAACAATGTTACGTTGATAAATGTTGTAAAAGACTAGTGGGAAATATGTTTTCATCGACAAAAAAATTTAATGCTTTAATTTTCATAAAACTCAAAGAGATTCTCAATTGAACTTTTTCTCGAGCCTATAACCTGTAATTTACAACTTGTTAACTCAATTATTAACTAGTGAGTTATCGTGCAAAAATGTTCTGATAATGACACTTTGTAAAGAGTATAGTTCTAGAAAATAGTTCATTTTATATTCTAGGAACTCTAACGCGCCACCTACATTCTCGAGAACTATTTTCATGGATGAATATAACGTGTGTATATCACTACCACATTCAAACAACTTCGAACTCGGTAAATTTTTGAACTTTATAGATCTTTCTTAACTTACTAACTAAGAATTTGTAGAATTTATATCCTAGATTTTAAATCTCTTTGCACTTAGACAATGAACTTGAATTATGTTGCAGTAAGTGTTACAATTTAGCGTTCAATTGAACAAACTATATAAAGTTAAAAGTTCTTCAAAGATACTATAACATAGTAACAAATAATTGATTACACGATTGATACTGTGATAACATTCTTAGAATTGTTGGCATTTAACAATCAGAATTTTTACATTTTATACTAAATAAATTTTATGATCTCGTTATATCTCTAAATAAATATTTCGCAATTTTTTCTTAAATTGTGACCTCTTTTTGTAATATTCAAATAACTTTTCTCTACATAAGATAAGGAAAATTAAAATAATCCTTAATCTCTATAGAATGACTAATTTCTATTTAATTAGCAAAAATATTATTGAGTATATTCTTCTAAAATACAAAAATGTAATTGTTTTAACTAAAACAACAATAAATCGAATGAAAAATTCTGATTTACAATCCATATAGATTGACAACTATTGCTTCGAACAATAATTATATTTTATTCCAACTAAAAATTAACAAATATCTCTAAAAACATTCTCTTGCAACACTTTTGACAAATTGATAAATTGAAAACCATTACTCTAAAGCAACAAATACATTTAACTTTAACTAAAAATAATCAAATATATTCCCTGAAAAAAATACTTCATAATCCTCTTATCAATTTACAATCGATTGAGAACCACTGCTTCATCGCAAACTCTATTAACAAAATCTTATTGGTGGAGAGATATCTCTTTTTGAATCCCTTCAACTTCCCTAATAGTTCATTCACGGCATCAATGAACGATCATGAATGTTCCACTGTTCAGCCATATCACCCAAAGAAGTTAAAGCTACGATCCGCAAACATAATCATGGAACTTCATCATCTACGGTCCATCCCTCGTTCCCATTATGCGAGCATAAACGCAATGACTGGATCAGCATTGACCACGGCCAACTAAGGTGTATTCATGCCGATATCGGTTTGGCTAATTTGCCGTATGTTAACCACGCGCGCATTCATCGAATTCGCGAAAACCATAATGCACCAAACGATCTCTGCCCGTCGATCGAGCCACCCACGCGTTATTGCGATTCGATCTGTCTCGAGCACGCCATCTCTACAAATACGATAAGTAATCGAGTTACGTAATCGATTCGTCCGAAATATGTGCATTTGCGAGAGAAATATCTGGGTCACCGATTTTGATTAAATTTAACGTGTCGCGTGCCGTTTACACATACGTAATAACAGAAGTTTTTTTTTTTGTATGAAAAAAAAGTACAGTAAATATTTCTTCCAGTTTTGTGGTGGAAAAAGTATTTAAGCGCGTGATAAATTATGAATACGAGTTACGAAATATATTTTTATTCAGATTTCTGTATTTTTTAATTAATTATTAATTTTAAGATTGTTGTATATAGACAGTTTCCTCTCTTACAGTTGAAGTTAATCCTTTGAGACACATTGGAACGTGTAAATTTAGTATAAGTATGATTTAATTTAATTACAAATACACATATGATTAAAATTGTGTATTATTATTTTTCTTTAATTTTTAAAATTTTTCTCGTTTGCGTTTTTTTTATACATAAATTATTATTAAATTTTATAAATAAATTTTATTCTAGAAGAGAATAAAAATTATTATAATTATTAATAAATTATTTATCTGCAATAATTTATTATTCTTAAATAATTTTGATTTTATTTTTCAATAATTTATATCCCTATGATTTCTATTAAAAATTATACATTTTTTTAATTGCAGAAATTGCAATATGAAACATCCTTCGTACTTTTACAGCTAAAAAATATACAGAGTTCCATTCTGAAAGGTACATGTACATAATATATGTACAGAAAAGATTTACTACGAAAAGATTATATATTTGAACTTATTTCCATCAGTGAATCGTATATCATGATACTAATATTGAATATCCAAGCAAAAATAACAAAAATACACCAAAGTATTCTGTTATCTAACTTTTATAGATAAAAATCATAGATAGAATATAATTTACAATAAAAAAAGAATAATCTGTATATTTATGATCATCTAAATGGAGCAAAAAATTTGAAAACAGACGTTAATTACTCAATTGAATTTATATGTGTACTTATTATGAAATGTTAAAATGTTTATGAACAGCCGTAAGAAACAAACGACCCGGAAAACCGAGAAAAGCGGTATTATTTTACGATAATGCCAGACCACATTCCACTACTATAATATAAAAATATTGCGTAAAGTGACAAGAATAATCTAGATTATAAGTATATAAATTAGACTGATTTTCATGCATTAAATTGAAGAAGATATATGCTCTCATTCATGTCAAGACAATTGTAGAAAATGTAATATACAAAAAACTATTAAAAAATAATAAAATCTTTTTAATCATTGCCTTGTATGAACCGTTGAATTTTAAGGAAATTATTTTTATTATATTTGTTTTTGTTTCATCCTATGAATTATAATTATACCGAATCAGATATACAGTAAGTTTCTCTGAGTTTTTGTCTTCTTTCTAATTCATCAAAAATGAAATTCGATAAAGAATAAATTGTCAGTTTTTCAAATTTTAATAAGTTTTATTCTAGAACGATTGTGAAAAGCTAACGAAACCAGTAGATATTCTAAAATTTGTGAACAGTACGAAAAACATTTCAGTATCGATAATTTATCAGTATGATTGTAAATTTTATAAAATCAAAATTTATAAATTGGTTTTTGTTTTATGTTTTAAAAAATGTTTATAGATTTTTAATATTTATATTTTTAGAAAAAATTTTTATTTAAAAAAATTAATTAGTTAATTTATATTGATAAAAAGAATCTTTTCATTTATTTTTCTTCTTTATAAGAGAAAAAATTAATTTATTTATTATTTTATTCCTCATATATATTTAGGCAGTCTGTTTTAGTCAAGAAATTCTGTGTAGCGTATATATTTACCCGAGATGAAGATACAGTATAAACGTACACAATATATGCATATCAATAGCTAATAATTCATAGTGCTCTGGAACGCGTCTCTAGAGAAGCGATAAATAATAAATTGTTAAGACGATCAGTGAGGTATATTATCCAGACAGATCCTATAACCGACATAACAAGTATCATATTACTTCTCGTGATAAATTATAATATAGTTATATTTTCTCAGAAAATTTTTCAATCACAAACGATAATTAATAAGAATGAACGTAATGAACAAAGGAAACGTGATAAGTTAATTTTTATTGCTCTTTTATAATTATTATTTAACTTTAGATAAAAGATGAAACTTTTAATGATGATTTTAATCATAAAAAATTTCATCATAAAAAATTAACATTATAAATAATAAAAGAAAAGATAGAATACAGTTTTCGAAAATAATTTTTAAATTCACGAAATTCTGTAAAAAAAAAAAAAAAGCTAATCAAAATATCTAATTTTACGATAACCAATATTTCTAAAATATTCAAGAGACAAGAATACATTTTCACATCATAACCAAATGGATAATAAAATTTGAATAACACCAAACTGATTGAATTTTAAAGCTTTCATGTAAAGGATGAAAAGTATATGATATACAAAGATTTATGAAATTTTTCATTGCATTTATTTCACGTGTATTTTACTTAAATCGAGATCATAAATGATCAAGCAAAATAAATCGAATGAATCGAAATTTTCCATTTACAGAAAATCAAAATCCATCTCATTAAAATGGATTATAGACTGTTGAGCAACAAGTATTCGCACCATCGTGAAAAAGCTCATACCTAGATACTCGAAGATTCGTGTCAAGAACTAAAGAGACGATAACTGAGCAGAACCTGACTTCAACATATCTCGTGATACCATCAACAGGAACAATCTTTATATTCTAATGTATTCGAAACGAAAATATGCATTATATATTGCATTGAAATTCTAGACTTGTATTCTTCTCATTCCATGAATAAAATAATTTCAAATCCTAACGATATATCATATCATATAAGTAGATAACAAATATATATCCAACATGGAATGAAAATATATAGTTTCATCAATGTTCGGAGATATAAACCTCGAAGAATTTTTTTCTCGTTTTCCCGTCATCTGATACTAAATGGATTATACAAAATGACATTTTCTAATTTTTGTTGGCAAAAACTCGATAATTCGACAATCTTTAACCGCATAAAAAAGCAATACGAAGGTTTGTTCGACCGTGTCCCACTTTTTACAAGAAATTATCGACACTTCGTTGTTACCTAATGACGATCGATTAATGGCAAACATTACCTTTTGAATTAACTTTCGCATACCATAATTTCTCTACAATGTGAACAATTTTGTTATCGAAGATAAAATTGCTTTACGTA